TGCCAGAGATGTTTCCATTATTTCAGTGTTCGTATCACTTTCCCTGTAATTCAGCTAGACTGAATAAGATGGTAGCAAATCGTGCTTCTCATAATTTTCTGATAATGATTTTTAACTACTTAATCATTTGTAAGTAGTGTGTTTTGCAAGAGAAACATTTTTGAAGTTTTTCCTGTGATTTGTTGACGATGTGGACATGAATTCATGTATTATGGAGTCGAATTCGTCATTTTGTAATTTACACAGTTCAATATAACATTTATCCACATATTACTTGGGAAAATAAGTTCTTAAGGTCACAAAATGTGTGATCTGCTTGGTTCCACAAGTGTATATCAAGAAAACAAGCGAATTAGCGTGATACTATATATTACCGATTGATTGAGATGAGAGGTTGGAAATCAGTCATGTCGAACGGTAGTGCTTGGTAGCCATAGTGAAGTAATGCAAACACAGGATGGCTGTTGCCATTATTTGTGACTGATATTATCAGTGGTATACCTGGGTCGACTAAGCTCAGAGAGTCAAATCACTCCAAACCAATCGAAGTTTCGCATCTACTTCGTTGATGAGATGAAAAATAGTTCATATTTTATTACCTACTGAGTAAACCATATCAAACATGTACTGTCCCCCCTTCTTCACACTTAGACTTCAAAACTGGCGATTATATAGACTGAAATTTCGAACATTTAAAATAGCACTCCATAGGACACATTATGTAATCAAGTTCACGTTCACAAAATAAATGACGTTCTTTTGTAAATCCCCACAAAATTTGAACTTTGGTATTACTTCCCGTTATATTTATTAACTTACATGTCTGTTGTCATACATAGATGCATACACACATAGGAAGGACCCATAGGCTTCCACGTGTTGGAGATACAGAGCACATTTAAAAGTAACCTCAGCAGCAATTAAATCATACGGACCATGGAGATATATGTCTACTGTCATCTATGAAAAAGCCAGTTATATACACTTTCAAAGTCAAACATGAGAAATGTTTGTACCACATATTTAAGCTTTCTGAAGCTATGGTTAAAATGGCCTTGCATCCGAAGAGAGATTCTTCTCATTCCTTTGCCTTCCAACTAGAAAACATGGCTTCAGTGATAGTGTTCTATTTAAAGGGTGAGGTTGCTAATGCCTTGAAAAACTTCACTTCTTTTTTAGGCCAGTAAAATAGGTGAGGTTTAGTAGTTCATTGGCCGAAAGTTAAACGCCGGACTACGTCCTCTGTTGGCAAGTATTCTTATGTTTAATCCCCAAAGCACCAGTATTAATTGTTTGGGTTTAATTTTTTTTTTATTACACTGAGCATTCTTTATTAATCCATCAACAAAAGTATCAGTCACCATCAACGGGAGAATTCTGAATGAAGTCGTCCCTTTCACTTATATGAGAGAAATCGTTTCAGGTACATGATACACTGATAAAGACACCGAGGCCAGGACAAGAAAGGTAGAACAAGCCTCCATTACTCGGAAATCAATGTGCAGATCAGAAGCACTCAGTAAAAGAAACAAGTTCTGCGTTTTAAACAGTAATTTGACGTCAGGGCTTCCATATGATTCAGAGACTTGGGACATGCGTCATCAAGAGTGTTTTCAACAGACTGCTAAATACTTTCTTTTGTTTTTTTTTTGATTACAGCTTGATTCCACACTGTATTTTTGGTACAAGTATGTAATTTTCAGCATGGATATCGGTAGCTCAAATTTTGCAGGCCGACCATAGATATCAGGTGTGCGTCGGCGAGGGCTCGAACCCCGGAGCATGTGCATGGTGGGCGAAAGTCCTAACCACTGTGCCACCGGGGCACATGTATGACAAGAATGTGTGTATGTGTATGAAAAGAAATTTGTTGTACCAATCTACCACACATATAAGGTTAGTAAAATTTTCATCCGAAATTTTTAAAGGGAATCTATTGCTTCAAATCATCTATGAGCAGATTGAGAGGCGTTTCCACAAACACACTATCTTTTGTACGTAGAATTTTCCTTTTAAACGTTCAGCTGGATGTTAAGGGAATGTCTAAGAAGAAGTTCATTTACACAGTTACCGAAAGAAGAAATGTTTAGGTTTTCTTGACGTAATTTAGTTACATATGAAGTAAAAACTCTAAGTCCTTTGAAAAGTTTGCATAAGTGAGCAAGAAGTCGAAGTCTGTAGAGTGATGCATCTACATAAAAGAGTATCTCAAATCTTCCTGGAGGAATCTTAACTGGATTAGCATTTATCAGAAGTCGTTTACATTTAAAAATTACACACTAGATCAAATCTACTCAGAATGTATTGCAAGGAATTCATTTATATTTGTTGACTGTTACTGATCAAAACTATGACAGTACTAAAATACAAGTTTAAGAGTAACTGAAGCCCAGTTACAGCCATTAAGTGACCCTAAAAAAGTCGCCCTTAACTATCCAAATGAACCCTTAACTCACGTTCATTTTCTAAGTTTATCGTTTTGCCTCAAATTTCCTCAAAATTTAGAAACTGAGAGCGAAATTCAGCCTTGAGAACTACACCTGTTAGACACCCCATTAGATGTCTGATTCAAAGGGAAGACATCGAACAGTTTGAAGCGGTTGTACTAAAGAACTGCTATCTTAATTCATATTCCAGCGGTAAATCTTTGATACCGGAAGGATGCAGAAAGCACCAATTAAACGACAGCATTCCTGTGGTTTGACCAGAAGAACGATACAAATTCTGTAATAATGTTTTAAAAAACTAGAAGAAAACCTTCTTCATGTCTGAATTCCGACTAACCTTCTCCCTCATAGTTTCAAAATAGAGAAAAAAGGTCCCCCCGAAGCTCTATTCTGGAAAACCTGATCGAACCGGAGCACCAAGCAAACCCACAAAGTAACCTCAAAGTTATCTACAGAATACGTGGGAATCTCGCTAAAACATTACGAATCAACCTTCCTCAAACCAAAAAAGCAACGGTAATTCAAATATTAAAACCTGAACTCTGCATGCAAAAGAAGTTTGTTTAGTCATTAAATCTACAGTGGACCTAACGTATCTTAACACGAAATACGTAATCGTTTTGTTCGCGTCTATTTTTTGCTTGTTTGTTTCTTAATTGTAGAAAATTGAGTGTGTGGGGTAACAAAGTTCTGCAAGAATTTCAAACAGTAAACCGCACCTTGAAGGATAGAAACTCATCTTATAAATTCGTGACTTAAAATGAAGTAGGAACAAATTATAAATTTGGACGCTTTTGAACGAATATGGTAATGCTGTGGGAATCAGCTTTTTACTTGTGAAGAAGATAGTTCAATGTGAGATTTAAGTGACGTAATTTGATGTAAATAGTTGGGGTTCCAGTAGGAAAACATGGTGACGTTTTATATGGAACCGTATAATTTGAGAATAATTAGTCACATTCTATGTATTATGAGTTCACTGGAAGGATCTAATCAGAATTTGGGTAGTTCGAACAGATTTAAGTACCCCACTGATTTTCTCGACTGCACACAAGTGAATTAACCGTTTACTACCTAGGAAACCGTAGCCCGACTTGCAAGCACCACTAAGGCGACGGTCAGCAGTCACCCATATGATTCAGTATGACGTGTAGTGTTGTAGGCTTAACATCACGCCATTCAACTAATCTAAAATTTTACGAGTTATTTTGGTAAATAAGAATGTAGTATATAAAATAACAATAAATATAATGAGTTATTCATTTCACTTCTCTCTGACTAGGAGGCATTACTGGTTGATGTGGATGACTGGTAGCTGATCATATCAGTCAACAGTGCATACTATCTTGATATACTTCCTTCGTCCTACTGACGACTGCTAGTTTATACAGCTTAGCGCACATATTTCGGACCTATACATAAAGTAACCCAAGTAATTTCAGAACGTGTTACACATAATGCTAACATATCACTTTTGAAATTCATATTTCCCAAACACATTTAAGGTAAAGTTTATTTTAAATAGTACAGTACCTCAACTGGTGAACAATTTACTTCTCATAATCTTATCAAAGTATCTATGTGGATTTTTTCATTGCTTTATACATAAGACTTGATGATGCCCTAGCAAATAACAGTTGCCACCTGTTGTCAGAAATATAGCTTCTTTGGATCAGTATATAAGTGAGTAGCGTTTTGACGTTTAAAATGGTGGAGGATGGGTTCGATTATCAGTGGGATGGGGATACATTCAACTGACTAGTCCCATTTAGGTCGAGCATGTTTCTTAGATTCTATTCACTGCCACCACCCGCTAAATAACAGCATTAAAGACACCTTCAAAGGTTCCATTCTAGCAGCCTATACGCCTACAGAGGTTAGGCATTTCTGACTAGTCAAAACATACTATGAGAAATCCAAAAACCAATTAACCTGACTTTATAAGAGCTATGTAGATTTATGTCAGGAAGATATATCATGGAATTGAATTTTTGATTTTCCCGTCGATTGATTGAACCGAAGTGCTCGGTCTCAGGATTCCACTGCTAGCCACCATCCACCAATTGTATATAAAGATATATTATGCATAAAACAAGCTTATAATTGAGTTATATGACTGTTCGTACAAGAAATTTAGCAGAAAACGGTGATAAAATTAATTGATTTCTGATCAGTATTTCATTTTTTCAGAAACTCTCTGGTTCACTTACGCATAGCTTATTCTTTTTGTTTTGAAGTTTGACTACTTTCCATTTAATCAGTAGTACAAACATAGGCCGACAAATAATGAAGGAACGGGACGCATATATTATTAGGAGAATTTCCGCACACTGTTATAAGTTACTGAAATGATCATTAAAGTAAACAGGGGCACTTTGTTGAAGGTATTTATCCTTTTTTATGGGGTAATTCACGGTAATTATTCACGGGATTCAAAATTTACTGTTAAAATACAATGGAAATTATTTGCTTGACTCACGTTATTTGTAATACTCTCCAAAGAAGACTGAATCCCCAAAAAGCCGATCGTGTCCTACTGTTTAAAAATTGCATTTATATCATCATAACACTGAAGTGTTTCATGGGCTCAGCAGAGAAGGTGTTTTCTGCAATAAAACATCGATGAAAAGTTTATGTATTATGGTGTAACCATGGGCTACGTTTCTACCAAAAATATTGGAAAAAACAGAAAGGTTTCACTGTGTGTAATCCTCTATTGCAAATATAATTAAAATAAAGGGAAAGTTTTGTCACTGAACCACCCATCTTTATGACTGAATGCTTTAAAATGATATGTTGTGATTATTTGATACTTCCCTGTTTTTCAATGGTTCTCTAACTGACATCATTCCGTGGTCAAGCTCAAAAAAATCTAATCCTTACAAACCAACTCTTGAAAGTTAATCTGATGCTCGCCAATGACTTGCTACAGGACGGAGTATCCTGGAGTTCTACTGAGAAGTCATGACCAGTGAGGTCCATACACTCAAGTCTCAGGATGGATTTCCCACCGATGACATTGGTTGGTGGTCGCACTGAATCACGAGTTGGTAGAAGTTATAATTCATGCACTGGCCATTGAATTAGGTCCTAGTGGCTGAATGGTTTACGAGCTCGCCTTGAAACCAGAAGGTCTTGGGTCCGAACCTTTGCAGTGGGTGCTTTCTGTCGATGATTCCCAAACTAGGATGAAACAGCAGCTGTACAGTACTCCATGGTTTTCAGTGGCTCTCTAACTGATATCAGTCGGTGGACAAACCCGAAGAAACAAATGTAACCCTCACAAATCAACTCTTGAAATAAATAAGTCTTATGGCGTATGCTACTGATAAGATTTATCAGTATTATATATAAAGAAATAAAAAATAAAAATATCAAAAAGGAGAGAGAGAGATTTGAATTTAAAGACAGCGAATGAATTCGTTTTGTTGCAAAACATGGAACAGGTGAGAAGAAGACATAAAAAAACACAATATAAGGGGAAGAATTAACACATCATTGAAGATCTGTGCAAATGACGATATCCAAATAAAGTGTGGATAATTTCTCTATATAAAGATTCCACATTTCAAATAAACACTCCACTACCAAGCCTCTTGTTTTCTACTGCTTCAGTCTAACAACATACAAAAAGTTGAAACACGGAATTCCCCGTTAATATATTGTATGTACCAAAGCTAATGACTTACGGATTCAGTAGATTATCACTGTGAACAATGTAGGTTTTAATAAAAACCAACTAGTGAAATAAAACGATTCAGTTAAATTATATGAACCAAATAATTATCTTATTTTCTGACATGTACATAACACTTATTCAAAAAAACACTTAATAATTTAGTATAGATGATTGTACTTAATAAGACTCAAATTCATAACTGATAAGGATGTCACCACTTCTTTATTTGACTTAGTCTTTCTGAAAATACTGAATTATTTTATTTAGCTATTTCTATTGCTCTTGTACTTTACTTTCTCATTCATATCTATTGCCTTTCTAACTGTGTAGAATTCTTTTCTTGGCTTTGCAAACAGTACTGCGTGTGATTTAGCCTTAAATTATGAATCGCACCACATATATTGGTGTATTTTGTTGAGAATTGTGCATTTAGTTATCAAGTGTCTTCAAATCCGAAATTTAACCAATGAAATTTGTTTTATTTTTCATTAAATATGCCGTGAATGTAATCTTCATTAGAAATTAGTCCTTCCCTATACCTCTTACACTTCATATCTATAAAACTATTTGGCGAAACTGTAGAATTTTCCTGATATTTAGTAATCATTAAATCATATCGAAACCAATAGCTAGAGTGAGTTCGTTTTCCATAGAAATTTCGCCAACTTTAGGCAGTTTACCATTCGATTCCATAGACTGGCAGAGGCTAAAAGAACAAGTTTTATCGAAACAATTCAAAATAACCTGTAAATGGGTGCATTTACAGACTTAAACATGTGAAATTACCTAGAAATCTACCGTTTTTCATATATCGAGTCTCTCGATATGTTTTCACAAATATCCCCTACAGTGCTACTCCAACAGCTCATACTTTTCTGGAAGTTCCATGTGATCGAGTTAGAAAATTTCTATCGATTATTTAAAAGCACTGAAGATGCTAAGGAATATTTACAGTTTATTCTATGGGTTTTCAGGATGTATTATTCTTTAGGATCAAGTTTCCATTGATAAAAGTGTGCAAATTTATATTGATTGGTCATTAGAAAGTAACCAGCATCATTTGTATAATGGAGCTGATAGAATTCTATCAATCAGTTTGCTATGTGGTCAGGAGAGTGTAGTCAGTACCAATAAGATCTAAACAGATCATATTGGTTATCCTCATAGTTATCGGTCAACATCGACGTCATGCAAAGCCCGAATAACTGGTCGTAAAATCTCTGACTGTAGCGCTGAAGGACAAGGGTTCAAGTCGTTGAGGAGGCATCAGTTCATTGTTTGATGACTACCAACAAACACGAAACTTTGTTTCAGGGATTTTTGCCGATTTATTCCAACCACTTCACATGCAACTCTCTAATAAAATCACACTGTTGAAGGTATCTGAAATTATTTAACGTAAACTAAGGCCTAACTGTAAGAGAAACTGGATACGATTATTTATCAGTGTACTATTAATTCAAAAGGCATAGGTCAGCAAAGAACATTGTTCTCCTAACTTTCCATCAAAGCTGTACGGTAGCCTAAAAGTTCATGGGAATGACAATAAAGGTCACTTATTAATTTCAGTTGGTCACAGAAGGTATGAAACTGTGTATTGGGAACAAAAAATGGATAATCTGAGAAAGATGGTTAGGTAGTTTTAATATAATCTAAAATCATTCAGTGGTGAATAGCATCAAGAAGTGATCATTAAAACTATAAGCACTTGTGAACAGGAATGATTTATTTTATTTTTTTATTTTTGATTACAGCTTGATTCCACACTGTATTTTTGGTACAAGTATGGAATTTTCAGCGTGGATATCGGTAGCTCAAATTTTGCAGGCCGACCATAGATATCAGGTGTGCGTCGGCGAGGGCTCGAACACCGGACCATGTGCATGGTCGGCGAGAGTCCTAACCACTGTGCCACCGACGATGTTCATAATAGCAGGAGATTCAAATTAGGTGTAAAGTATATTTTATAGTTGGTGGCACAGCGGTAGAATGCTCACCATCCACGCATATGGTCAGGGGTTAGATCCCTGGCCGACTCACTCCTTTACCTCGTTAAGCCAGTAATGAGACTGATAAAGGTTTGGCATGAGGCTTACAACCCCATCCCGTAATAATAAAAACACCACTGCTACAGAAACTTCAAAGCTCTAGCTCGAAGCCCTATGTTCCACTGGGGAACGTGAAGGAAAAAAAAAAGATATTTTAAAGTCAGGAGTTGGAGAAGAAAGTAGAAAAAGGCTAATGAAGACATCTCACCTATCGAATTACTGTAGGAGTCAAAAAAAGGTTTAATGATATAGCAGTGAAAGGGATTGAAAAATCACCTTTGTATACACAGTTGAAAGTTTTTGTGTATAACAAGAGTTTCATGTGTTGATTGATACTTATTTTCATGATGAACAAAGTGATATCACGGAAAAATTAATGTTTGACTTAAATTCAAGTTGAAAAATGTAGTAGTAGTAAATTTTATTTTCCATTTACTTGGCATAATACTTCCTTTTGCTACAGTCAGACGATTTTATAAGAAGAGCACTTGAACACTGTGTTAGAGTATAATTCCATTGTGGGTAAACTTTATTTTGATAAAGTCTCACAGTGTCCTATTTACTGATGACCACGTTTCGACCACAATTTATTGCCACTCATAATCATATCAAGGTATTCCATCATTTTTTATCGCTTGACTTGATTGGTTGTAGTATTTTCCATATTTTCATTTCTATTGCACGCGCTGGGTGTAGAATCGATGAACAAGGATTCTGGAATCAATCTCTCTCCACCTACCTATATTACTTCTTAGAATTTTAACTCTCTCCCACGCTATTGTGTGGTTTTGTGTTAATGCATGCATGTCCTATGTATGGACAAATGTTTCCCCATTTTCTGTACTTCTTTGTTCTGGTAAAAAAAACATTTGGTATTAAGTTATTTTCGACTTTCTACGTTCTTGAAGTTTCATTCACATAACTAACGTAATATTCAAAGTAGGTTATGCTAAGACCGTCATATCAGTTCAAAGAAATACTGAAAACCAAGAATCACTTGATGATCATGTCATCATAGTCTGGAGTCCCTCCATAGTGCTCATTTTCAAATCCAGGGTGAAGCTAGTACATTTTCACTCAGCCATATAATGATTCATGATCCAGGGGTTCTGATGGCAAACCGTTATAACGTCAATGTTTTCAATCTTCGTTGTTAAATAATCATCCCAAACAACCACTTTTTAGAGCATTCAGATATCATTCATTACTGAGCAGTTAGTTAAGACTGAAAATCATCAGTGTCAACTGAGGGTAGTGTATATTAGTTAGTATATATGCTAACTTCATAATCTGAAGGTTACAGGTCTGATTTCTTGGAAAATCACCGGTACGTACTAATGAAGAGTTTGAAGCTAGTTCTGTGATTTTTTTTTGCTACTACTTCAACGTTTCTTCTCTAATATCTTTTGCGGGCTTTATTTTGCACTGAGTTTTCAGTGTGATGAATAAAATGTTTCCTGCTTTCATCAATCTTGTAGTCGTTCAGGTAGACTGTACAGCCTATTTTAGCGACTGAGAATTAACTAGTACTTTACTGTGGATGAAAGCCAAGAAAAAAAAATTCGTGAACAGATTGCCTTCTCTACAACTGCTGCTTCCTTATGAATTAATATTATGTACTGTTGTTTTGCATTGAAACATCCAGTACAAGTACTGAGATGTGATACTGACTGAAAATGTATATCACGACATGTGTTTCACCTATTTTGAAACTCATCAACCAGATGCACATGAGTTCCAAAGTAAAATAACTTTTATGAATAATTATTTGAACAGATCGAATCCTTACATCCATACGACAGTTATCAGTGGCATGTAAGAATCTATTCCGTACAAGACCTTAAATATTCAAGAATTTTATACAGAGGAAATAATCAGA